AGAGTGACTCGACGACACTCTCGACGCCTTCGGAACCGGTTTCTTCGCGAGTAGCCGACCTTCATTCCGAGGCGCATGCGGAAGTCGATAGTCCTCCTCTTCTACTTTCTTTTGAGGACTATGTTGCCCGGCTCATTCCAACGCTGGGTACTCAAGCTCAAGGACAAGGAGTGTGTGCGGTTTCTTCTCCGTCCGGCAACGGCGACAGTTCGTCTTCAAGTGGTTCTTCACGGGATTCGGCGCGCGAGTTCAACATAGAGGCATTAGACCCGCTCACGTCTCAGGACTTTGCATGGCTTCCTCTCCCGACCACCGGCCGATTGCCGGGACCGCAATGCGCAGCACTTAGCGCTAATCTTCACACTTACCTATCCTTCTATGCACCACCAACTTCGCCGACGGATGACGAAGTCGCGGTGGGGGACATCTTGGCGTATACTACCAAGGTGGCCCGCGAGTTTCGCACGCAGCGGTACGATGACAACAACGCACCGCTGATGTATGTCCGCATTCAGGTTGGGCAAGCGTCCTGCAGCGCTTTGCTGGATAGCGGCGCGACTCGCAACTTCATGAGACAATCCTTTATGCAAAGGGCTGGCCTTGGCACACAGGTTCGGAGGAAGGCAAACCCGACGACGATCAAGTTGGCGGACGGTAAGACGCAACAAATTCTCGACCGTTACATCGAGGCCGTACCGGTCTACTTCGCACCTCATGCATGCGAACCGGTCACGTTCGATATTCTCGACATGGACTTCGACATCATTCTGGGAATGCCTTGGCTTGCAAGTGCGGATCACACGGTCAACTTCCATCGGCGGACTCTTAGCGTTCGCGACGCCTTCGGCGCGGAAGTGGCGTGTACTGTTCCTCTACCGCACTCTTGGACGAGTTCGCCGATATCTTCGAGTCACCTACCGGTGTGGTGCCGGATCGGCCGATCTCTCACGAGATCATTCTTGAGGCCGGTGCTGTGCCGCCAAAAGGTTGCATCTATCGGATGAGCGAGGAGGAGCTTGAGGTACTCCGCGCACAACTCGATGATTTGTTGGCCAAAGGCTGGATCCGCCTGAGCAGCTCCCCATATGGAGCACCTGTTCTCTTCATCAGGAAGAAGAACAAGGATCTACGATTGTGTATCGACTACCGCAAGCTCAACGCGCAAACCATCAAGAATGCGGRGCCTCTTCCTCGCATCGACGATCTTCTCGAGCGACTGGGCGGCGCGAAGTATTTTTCCAAGTTGGATTTGAAATCGGGATATCATCAAATCTCGATCCAGCCGCACGATCGCTACAAGACCGCGTTCAAGACACGGTACGGGCATTTTGAGTGGGTGGTCAGGCCTTTTGGCCTCACCAACGCCCCGGCGACGTTCCAGGCGGCGATGACCAACGAGTTCCGTGCAATGTTGGACCGGTTCGTGTTGGTCTACTTAGACGATATTCTCGTCTACAACCGGTCATTGGAGGATCATCTGGGGCACCTTCGACGAGTGTTGGAGACGCTCCGCCGCGCCAAGTACAAGGCCAACCGTGACAAGTGTGAATTTGCCCGGCAGGAGCTGGAATACTTGGGCCATTTTGTCACATTGGAGGGCATCAGTCCGCTATTCGGACAAGATTCAGGCCGTCCAGGAGTGGCCGGAGCCTCGGAACGTCACAGAAGTTCGCTCGTTCCTTGGTCTTACCGGCTACTATCAGCGCTTCATCGAAGGCTGCTCCAAGATCGCGGCCCACTTGAACAAGCTTCAGTGCGAGGATCATCCGTTTGACTTTGGAGAGGAGGCGCGGGGATCATTCCTCGCTCTCAAAGCCGCGCTATTGTCTGCGGAGGTCTTGCGAATCTACGACCCGCTAGCACCTACGCGTGTCACTACGGATGCGTCAGGATATGGCATTGGTGCAGTCCTCGAGCAACATGATGGTGTGGACTGGCACCCGGTCGAGTACTTCAGCAAGAAAGTGCCCCTCGTGCATTCCATCGACGATGCATGCAAGAAGGAGTTCCTCGCCTTCGTCCACGCGCTCAAGCGGTGGCGGCACTTCCTCCTTGGTCGAAGCCAATTTCGCTGGGTAACGGACAACAATCTGTTGGTCTTCTACAAGACCCAGGACACCGTCAACAGCACCATCGCTCGATGGATGGCTTTCATCGACCAGTTCGACTTCTTTCCCGATCACATTCGAACCATTTTGCGGATGCTCTTTCACGGCGTCCGGATCATTGTACTGCGGTCTACTCAACTTTCGAGATTGACGACGACCTGCGGAACAGCTTCATCCGCGGCTACCAAGCCGACCCCGAGTTTCGCGACAAGTACGCGAATTGCTTCTCGCCTAATCCGTCTCCTTCTCACTACCGGATCCAGGAGGGGTACTTGCTTGTCCACACGCGGGGGAAGGACCTTCTTTGCGTACCAAGTGATCCTCACTTGCGTACACGGCTTCTTGGAGAGTTCCACGATGCTCCCGCCACTGGACACTTCGGGGTCAATCGCACGATTGGCCGACTTCGCCAACGATTTTGGTGGCCTGGCCTTCTCAGCGACGTCAAGCGCTATTGCGAGTCTTGCGAGGTTTGCCGACGCTGCAAATCCCGCAACCATCGTCCGTACGGCGAGCTACGACCATTGCCGGTCCCGTTGAGGCGAAGGGAAGCGATTGCCATGGACATTACCGGCCCGTTCCCCAGCACAAGACCGGAGTGGATGGGATTCTCACGGTGGTCGACGGACTCACCAAGTTCGCCATGTTTTTGCCTTGTCGCTATCATGCCAAGGCACCGGGGTTGGCCGAGGTTCTGTACGCCGGTTGGATTCGCACCAAGGGTTACCCCAAGGAGATCGTCTGCGACCGCGACACTCGGTTCATGTCCGATTTTTGGTTGGCGCTCATCAAGCGATGGGGCTCATCTCTCAAGCCCAGTTCAGCTCGCCACCCTCAGACCGATGGTCAGACGGAGAGGGCGCATCAGACCGCACAGGTTCTCCTTCGCACTCTCATCCGCCCCGACCAGAAAGACTGGGTTGAGCGACTGCCGGATGTTGAGTTGGCCTACAACTCTTCCATCCACCCGGCTATTGGGATATCGCCCTTCGAGTTCGAGCACGGCTCGCCGGTCACTCCACTCACGATCGAGAGCGACGACCATCTTCTTTTCTTGCGTCGGATGCAAGAGCTTCTTGTCAAGGCACGCGACCAGATGGCTAAGACACAGCAGCGCATGAGCCAGCAGGCAAATCGCCAGCGTCTCCCTTGTCCATTCCGCGCCGGGGACCTCGTCTGGGTTTCCGCCACGGAATTCAGCCTTGAACAAGACATCTCTCGCAAGCTCCTTCCGAAATGGATGGGACCTTGGCCGATCATAGAGCCCGCTGGGGAYGCACCCGAAGGRCCTTCYTTCACGATTCRRGTGCCTAGCCACTTGCCCGTCTACCCAGTCTTTCATTGCTCCAAATTGGCTCTCTACACGCCTGCGGAGCATGACGAYTTTCCCGGGAGACGTACACAGGACCCTCCTTCCATGGATGGTTTTCAGGAGGTCGACGACATCATCTCCCAGCGACGCTTTGGCAACAAGCCAACTGAGTATTTGGTGCATTTTGCATACTGCACCCACCATGCGGAACTTCAAGCGACTACTCCAGACGTTCTCGCACGCTATGAGCGCAAGATGCAAGGCAAGCCGGTTTCCTCGGCTCCCCGGCGCGCCCGCGTCCAGGTTCCACCTTCAGATCGACGGCTTCGCCCTCGCCCCGGCTTGACTTCATAAGGAGGGGGGGGTGTTACATGCTGCACATGCACACACGGGCCATTTTGCAGGCCCGACGTCGTTCAGGCCAAAAACCTGAATTTCGGGCTTTAAGCCTGATATCCAAGGCTTACAGGCACCGCCGACGGTTCAGCCTGACAGCCCGAGAAAGGACCTACAGGCTCCAGCCTGTTTCCCTACAGGGAAACTTCCAGGCTCTTGCCTGGAAGCTTC